TTTAAATACTCCCTAATAATTCGAGCGTTGTGAACTGAACAGCCGTCTTGATGAAACCAAACATTCTCCAGATTTACATCAGGAAGATTGAGAATAGCGGGAAGAACATGATTCTGTAACAAATCGAGGTATACTCTACTATTCAAGTTGCTCTCAATAAAAAATGGACCTATTATGTGGTCTCCTGAAATGCCAGTCCAGACGTTAACTTTTTGAGGACGTTGAGTTCGGTAAACAACACTTCTGTGCTGGTTTTCCCATGCCCAATGCCTCGTAATGGAAGGATTGTGTCTCCCTACTAACGAAACAGAAGATTCATCAGTGAATAAAATGTTTTTAATAAAATTTGGTTCACTATTAGCCTTCGTTATTAGAGTTTCACAGAACTCCATTCTTCGAAAGTAATCGTCTGGATAAAGCTGCTGCGTTTTCGAATATTTAAAATTCTTGTAACCGTGCTTTTTCCATACTTTCGTTACAGTAACATTGCTAACATCTAACTCTCTAGCAACGCGAATCTACCTCGATTGTTACACAAATTTGTGTATCCCGGTATTCTCTTTCCTCAACTTTTTCTGGTAACACTTCTTGAGCGTGACATTTTCTGCAATTTTTGAGGCAATAACAACTCTCAAAATTTTTAACAATATTATAAATCGACTATAGACAAGGAATTGGTCTTCCCTCAAAAAACACAGAAAATAAATCTACACACTGTTGCGCAGAATTGCCACTATAAAACCGTTTTATTATTTGAGCTTTTTCCGCGGCCATATAAACAGACATGTTTACAAAAATAAATTAAAACTCTACGCTGTTATACCTTTAAACAGACACGATATAATGACAATATGACAAATTTGCCGACGGGCGACGAGCAACGACGAGTCAACGAAGCAGATATGTAGTGCAAGTCGACGACGCTCAGTGTTGCCATTTATAGATTTTATACCTAATCCAAAACTTAACGCACTGTACCAACAATAGCGAATTAAGTCTGACAGATTACAGATATCATCTACAATCATATAAAATATACATGCAACACACAATACACAAACGCCTAATGTATAACCAAATAATGCAGGAACACACAAAATAATCAAAATTTGACTTCCCGGTGGCACAAAATCAGCCCTCAGCTTTTTAGCCAAAAGCATATCTACAAGACCGAGACTAAAAGAAAACAGGTGTCTTAATTTTTTATGCTGTTTTAATGAAATATATAAAAATAATTACAATTTTCAACAAAAAACAAAAGATAAAATCTTCAACAAAGGAAGAAAGAACTCAAGAAGAATATAAAAAAAAAAGGAATGAAAACCTCACATGTAGGTATGGATATTTTGTTTTATTCGCTGCTGCTTCTCAATTTTTGCAGAAATGGCATGTAACAAACGTCATTATTTGTTGGGAAACTGACCTGTTGCAACTTTCGCAGATAACCGTTGTGATTTGAGTTTTTTTCTTATCGCAAATGAAACACCTCTTTACAGGTGGCTCCTTATTGAGTTATGTTGTATTCAATGAGATGTGGCTGCCTCAAACCTGGGGAGAGCACCTTCCACCTGGGCACCTGGGGAGAGCACATTTTATCAACAGTATAAACTTCATCTTCGGTGATGAGGCAAAAACTTGCTGTATTTCGCGTTTGATTTATATTTTCATTTGTTTATTTTTTATGGACATAATTATAGGAATATCCAATATTTTCAACAATTCTTTCGCTAGCGGAAAACTTAAATACCAGTTATCACAAGTCAAGTTAGGACTAGTACCTATATTTACGTCCTTCAACAAGCGGTTACAAATTTCAGTAGGTACTTGCCGCAATAAACTTCAAACATTTCTACATCACAATATAAACAGTGTGATGTAAAACACACAATAACTACAGCGTCCTAGGAAAGATATCAACATTTCAACAATTATCATTAATTACTCAATATACTTTTTAGAATAAGTCATCATTAGCGGGTAATTCTTCGAACTTTCAAAATCAGAGTCGCCAATCACTTGAGTTGGCTCCTCTAATTCCACCTGTATCAATTTATTGGGATTTTATTTTTACTTTGTCCCTAAAATGATAAAAATTATCAAAAAATCGGCATAAAAATCATTCTAATGGTCAAATAAGTCTCCAAATAGCACTTACACAGCTAATAGCGCGATGTATTTCATTCGCCAAACTGTAATGCACTAAAGAAATTGTCAATAAACCAACTAACTGTACAACCATGTGCGCGCCTAGTAAGCATATCGGTCGCATAGACGTATATATTAAAATAGACTGACCAGTCTGTAGAGCTTAGTGACGACACCAACTTGTTTTTTGTTCTTCGTTGTGTCGTTTGTCTTGCATTAAGTAAGTATAGCAGCGTCTCTTTTGTTGAGGGAGAGAGTGAGTGAAGAGTTGCAAAGCGCTAGAGTGCGACAGATCGAACAACCCCAGGAAATTTTGTCATCCGTATGCGCGGCTGCTATGCTCGGTCTATGTTAATATATACGTATATGTTCGATCGTGGGTTACATCGAGAGACATGGATGAGGGAGACCGCATTGAGTTTTTACCGCTGTTTAAGTAGAAATTGTGTATTTTATACACCCGCGTTGGTAATTAAAGTTTAAAGTAAAGATAAAAACGTAGATAATGTCAAAAACCTAAAAATTGTAGAACAGCCTTACGCATGGCTGCAGGTAGTCCTAGCAACAAAGTTGAAATAAAAGCTTTTAGACTTTAAATTTCATTAATAATTTTGATAATACTTACAAGCTCTGCCATTTATATGGGGTCAAATTAGACCATAGCAATTAATTTTCGAAGACGTGTTAATGAAAACATACCTGATTCTCTGTATTTAAATGTTTAATGTCATTTATTGTATATTTGTGTGAATACTCTAATAGTAACAAACAAAATTGCGACTGTTATTGTATTCTTAAAATATTCGTGGTAAAATTTTATGTTAACTGGTTAGGTGGTTTGAAATTTTTAATGTTTTCAGAAAATATTATTTAAGTCACTGAAATTGTAGCTGCTCGAACAAAAATTATATAAATATCCATTGAGGTAAAGATATCTGTTTATTTATTAATGTTAAATTTTTCGATATTCTTATATTTACTGCAATTATTTATTATATTTCAGCTGTTTTAGTTATTGTAGTTACCTTCCTACTACATAAGAAGCAGCTTTTTAATACATTTGTACTGTAATTGTATTTGTCAATAAAAAATATATGTTTGTCTTTTTTGTATTATTGTATTAAAGACTTCAGGTATCAATTACTCTCGTTGACTTCCACACTACGTCCTTTACAAAGGATCTAGAATCTAGATCTAAGGCCTATTATTCATTTCATAACTACGTTTGTTGCTTTGATCAGGTTCTAAAGACGCCTGATCGAATATTTATAGGGTGCGTCCACTTTTTGCATTTTACAAAGATGATACGAGCCTCGTATACTCGTTACCGCAATTCCTTTATGCCCTGCCACTTATAACAGTGGTACTGTTTTGTAATACGCCGTTGCTTAAGGGACTGTTAACTCTAATCTGTGACAGACTCCAACTCCAACGTTCCCATTCATCATTTAGGTCACGTGGTCGATAAACCCGGCCTATTAGAAAGATCTGCAAGGACTGCTTAACATCAGTTTTCTCTGTCGCACTGGGGGCCTGTAGTATTGTCAGTCTATTTGTATTATATGTGTATGTAAGATTTAAGCTAATTTAATGTATAATAGCGTATATGAAAGAAGCTCTTTTATAATGCTCGTCTTCTTTGAACTTGCATGTAATGCTTGTTTTGCAATGCAATATTTAAAAATATTGCTGCATTCCACGAAGAGCGTGGTAGTATAAGTTGATTTTGTTTGTTAGTAACCACAATTAGTAAACAAGACATTTAGTAAATTCAAGACAATCACAATTAACAACACAAAAATGCTCATTAGATTTTTCAATCTTTTTCTAACATGGAGAAAGAGAGTAGAATTTTAACACACAGTAAAAATTAACGTTAAAATTTTACTCTAGAGTAAGAGTTGAATATAGTTTACCCCAGAGTACCTTCACTACACAAATAAAAGATGTACAAAAAACCTGTTGAACATAGTACAATCGGTTCATAACAACAAAGGGTTTCAGAAAAAAAGACACCTATAATGTTTTCTAGTTTTGCAGCTGTTTCCACAATTATTGTAAACAATAGGTACTCTGTATCATTTTAGATTTGAAAAATGACCTACAATTACTTGAAAAAAGCATAAATTATCCAGTGGCTTTCTAAGAAAGAAATATAAAATTTGAAGACAAGATGGTAATTTTTTGACTGACCTCTCTTATTACCGGAGGAAAATTACTGGTGGATCAGCGTTGTATTCATTTAAATCGTGGCAAAAATTTAGATAACAATGTAGTTCTTGCGGTCGATCATCACATTCGATAATTTCCGTTAAAAGAATCACATTACAGTACCAGATTAATTCAATATTTGGATGCTAACCTTAATGTGCAGATAATGCATGAAATATTTTGCAAAAAGTATCCTGAACATGCTAACATCGTTAAATACGATTTTTTGGAAAATACTATAGTGATAACCATGGCTACAGATTTGGAAGATCACAGGTAGACATTTGTTTAACTTGTGAAGAACTTAAAGCTAAAATACCAAGTCAAACGCTGAATGAAAACGCCAAGCGTGTAGCAGTTGCAGATAAGATGGTACATCTAAGACGATCTAAAAAGCTTTACCTGAAGCAGCAAGAAGTGTTGAGATTATGTCAAGAAAAGAAAAATGACGGAGCTATTGTTTTTGACTACCTGGGTCCATTCGCGAATGTTTTTTAAACAAGAAACTACACCTCTACAGCCCTCTATTTTGCCCTTAAGGATCATTTGTAATATTTTATATCGACTTCCCCTTACTATATGTCCCAGATAAGATTTTTTTGTATTTGTTCATTTTTTATAAATTACTTTAAATAAAATAAGCTTTGTCATACAATTTTGTGTCTTTATTCATGTCAAAAAAATATAAGTTGTAAGAAAGGAATAAGAATAAATCCAAGATTTTCTTTATCATTTTTCAGATAATGAAAATCGATGGATTGTTTTACAAAATTAAATATAACGAATAAACAGTTTTTATTAATTTCCCGAAAATCTACTTTTTGGATTCATTCCCTTCTAACTGGTGGTTCAATTTAAAGATTGAGTATGTAGAAATTGGATTCAAAATTTTATTTCTAGTCTATTTGAACAAGATCTTTAATTAACACATCAGAAATTGTTTCTATACTGTAAAACTTATGTATTATAAAAAAATGTATAAATGTAGGTAAATGGACCATATGATTGTGTGTATCTTCTTAAATTGGAATGGCCAAAACATCTGGTGTTAGTTCGTGGCTGAGTTGTGTTTGCAAATTTGACAGTTTTTCTTTTAACATAGCTACACCCATGATGACAATATTTTCTGGTTTCAACAATCCAGCAGCTTCCACATTGTAGAAAAATTTGTTAGGTTTTAATTCCCAGTTATATGGAGCTTCATCTAAAAAGTAAATTGTCGTTAAATTAATTTACATAAATGCTTTGACAAGTGAAACATTGTTGTCAGTTTATAACTACTTTATTTCTGATGAAATGTGATCCACAATGTGTCTTTAGCAACAAGTCTCTCAGATTACATAAACAATTATTTTAATTGGTTTAATCTTAATGCTTATTTATTTTTTTACTATAAACATGTTAGTAGAAATATATTCTAAATATGATTCTGCAATAAAAATGTTATGGCACCAGGGACCCAAGTTTTGACTATAATAAATCAAAATTAATTCTATCAAAATCTTTGGAGGAGAAATCAGTGGAGATAAAATCAACTAATTCCTTATCTATAAAGCATTTAAAACTTTCTTTTCATATACTACCAAATTAGTAACTATAGATGTAGCAACTAAAAATTATTTTTTATTTATTTAATTAATAATTTATTTTTATCAATTCGTTGAAAACATATTAATGAAAAATAGATATAATATAACCATATTTCCAGATATTTGTGAAAATGAATGTTAAAAGAGACATCTTAAATAGAATCTAAAGAGATTTCAAATTCAGTAAAAAAGTATTTCAAAAACAGGAAAGTAAATAAGCAACATTTTAAAAAAGAGTTAAATTATCAGGTTAAATAGTAATACTTAATTTGGTAATTAAAACAAAAGTACAAATAATAAGTTCACTAACATAAGGGAAGTCTAAATTAGTTTTTACAATTGTTTTGAAATATTTGGTTAAAAATCTTTTAGAAATGTCTTAATTGTTTTAGGCTAATAGTGGTACTTTTAGGATCCATTATATTTAAAGTTTATCACTTATTTATTTTATTAAGTTAAGTAATTCAATAATTTTATCCATTTTCACAAAATATTAGAGTAGATGTAGAAATTGAAAATGAAAACATTTTCATTTACCTTAACCAGAAACTTTCATTAAACAAGGCTAAAAAATATTTATGCTTACATTGATCATCTTCTAACTCGCTGTATTCACTTTTGGGCCATTCATCTGGTTTAGGAAATAATGTATGTCTCATAGCATTATCAGGATCATATTCAAAAGCAACACCACATGTAGGATTCCATTTGGCATGCTCTTTTCCAAAGCCTTTTTTGGCATATGCTTTAACTTTAAGCTCTTGACCCTTTCGCAATTTGATAATAAGAATTTCATCTGTCTCACCATACTCTGAGGATTCGTCATCACGATGTTTTGATGTTGCTGGTATGACTCGTGGATCGCTGGATTTAAAATCAGCAGTTGTTACATGCCGAGTTTGATCATCTGTACATTTTACATCTAAAGTGAATTCAACACTGCATTCTTGACAAAAGTCCAGACACACGCAATCCTTAAAAGTAAAATTATAATAATAAAAAAACGGGCGTGGCCCTCCAGTGGGACTGCCGGTAAAAGTTATACTTCTATACATGCGTTCGTCATTATATGTGAGAGAAAATATATCTTCTGTATCTCTCTTTCTCATATCTTACATATGTAATGATTTCACGGATTCACTCCCGTGCAAATTTCCAACGTCGACCGCGAGTATAGAAGTATAACTTCAAAAATGCTTTACATGATTAAAAAAATGTTTTATATGCACATAAATTGCTAGCAAATTCAAATTACACAAAATTGGTTCATATTTTCAAACGTTGAAAATTAAATTAAAATCAAAGACGTTTTTGTTAGCTTACCCTAGGATATTGTAATCTTTGTACAACTTCATCAGAAACTAAGGGTATCAATCCAATTCGGTGGGCTAAAAATTCATCACTCAGAACAGTTGAGTTAGCTTCTAATTTTACCCAGTCTATAGCTAAAGTTGGAGTTTCTGCAATAAGGACACGGCGAATGCTATTCGCAACACTAAAACAAGATGTTATGAAAGTACACAGAGTATTATGTGATTATAATATTGCAAATGTTTGTTATTATTTTAGGTTATGTTACCTTAAATCCGTGTCTTCTATATAAAATTTACAATTATCATCTGTTAAATCTGTTATATGAACAGATGGCTGATTTGCATATGGCATACTAAACGCTTTAATATAAATACGATCAAATAACTTATATTGCAGTGATATGATATAAAGTTATTCATAAAAAAAACAACTTCTCCTTAAAATGACCCTGCTTACCAAATTGACATATTGATTGACGTTATTATGACAATCAGCAGAATACATAGTACATAGCCCTCTAATAAGGTAAGTCCCATAGAAAGATTTGGGAGAGCGTCTAGCGCCAAACGCGGACGGGCGGAAACTAATTTAATTTAAAGTGTAGGTTCTGAATTTTAGGCGGCAAAATTCAAAAAGTATTATTTTAACGGAAAATATAGTCATAAAAATACAAACTTATTTTATGCCAAAAAATATATTCTCTCTGTCCAAAAATATAGTATACGCTTACGCATTTTTATATATAAATTTATAACATAATATTAGACAGATAGGTTTATTATTTTATGACTGTATATGTTTTCCATTACATTAACAAACCAAAGTCCTGAAAACATCAAAATAAAACTGATATCCTGACACTTGTTTATTTGTATAATTTTCTTTGGTAAAGGCAAAAATGCGTGTATTACAATGTTGCCTTTAACACATTTTTTTCTGTGGATACTCTTAATTCTTAAAAGTTATTTTAAATTTAAGTTGTGATTTTAGTGGAATTTTGTAGAATCTTTGTTGTTTTTTTAAACATTGTATAGTATAATCCTTAATATACAAACAACTCGATGATACAAACTTTCTACTATTATATTATTTATCTATGATACAAACGTAGTGAAACTGAGTGAAAACAACAGCATCAACGTCATACTCGACCTGACGTAACTAGTAACGCTGTCGCATTACGAACGGCTGGGCCTAAGCAATTTACTGTCCACACCTGTGCTATTTCACTTACACTATTATTTGTGGTACATACTGTGTTGACAATTGACAATCGTTGACAAAACTAAATGACACAGCACTGATAGGACAACGGAGTCTATACGAGGGGATTAGTATATTATTTTTTTATTTATTTAAATGACATAGCACAAAATATATACAATAGTACAAAAAATTAAGAGATTATTACTTAATACAAAACTTTGAATACATAAAATTTTTGCGTTAAGAGGTAATACAATTTTTACAAAGTATTAGCCGAAATTAATATCAAACTCAGAAGTATCATCTTCGTTTGATAAGTTCGAATAATCGAACTTTTTTGTATGCATCAACACATAGATTAAGTACATGAGTTGTTCATGAAACAAATAAAAACACTTTACAATTTTGTAAATAATCTGTTTTGTAAACTATTTTCGGAGTAGAAATCGAAATGTCAAAGTGACCTAATCCGTCTAAATTCCTCCTGGTAAATTGTATGATTTCGAAATGCTGGAGGCTTATATTAAGAGCTACGTTTAAAGTCCATTCTGTAACTATAGAAAGAGCCTGTAGCATTATATATCTAACTGTTCAGTTCAATTTGTCGGGAGATTACCAGGTCATACGCATAGTCAAGGATACTCTAATAACCCCCTCTGTGGCTCAGTGGTAAGAGCGCCTGCCTTTAAAACCTAAAGGTCGTGAGTTCGAATCCCACCTGGGTGGAAATTTTCGTTTATTAAAAAAATTAATAAATGAAAATAATTTCTATCCTTGTGTGATCGGTACACACCGGAGGGACCGCAGACGTTCGGATACAATTAGCGTCTCTTAGCAAAGACAATGACGTCGACTTTACTAAGTATCAAGATAATTACTCTACACACACAAACACAGACACACACTACATTAATAAACTTATCTTGATTGAGATACTGGCTGAATGACAATTGTCCAAGCCAAAACACACACAAAAAAAAGGATACTCTAATTGCTGAGAGTCTAAGCGCATCTAGCTATGATAAAGCTATGATTATTATTATTATTATTACCTTGATATTATCAACCCATCCATGACCAAATTTCACAAAAGAGGAGATAAAACACACTTGTCCTGCAGACAACTTCTGGATACCTATGCTGATACTATATCCCCATTGCGTATATCACACGGTTCTTATTTTGAACAGTTTCATTTTGTATCAGCTAGTAATACTAGAGTCTACAAGTAGAAAGCACCTCTCCTTTATATTAATGTTTTAAATTCCTGCAAATACATAAGCATCTCCGCCTATGGATAGCGTGTTGTTTCTTGCCATCCATGAAGTTATGTTGCCATCACAAGTAAATAAAATACCTTGACGTCTGTCACTGTCAATCTTGAAAAAGTTTATTTATATATTATAGAAATAACAGAAGTATGTAAGGGTATAAAAGCTTAAAAGTCCAAATAATTATAACAATAATGGCATACTTTCACTATCGGTGTGGTGAAAGAATTACATTAATAAACGAAAACTGTACTGCCATTCGAAATGAAAGTGAATTTGATCATGGCTTGGTCATTTCTGCAGAACCCCTACAAAATGATGTCCTTTTTGAAATAAAAATTGATAAAAAGGTAAGTAGGGATATTTATTTAAATTCTTGTCAGTACGTATGGGCTCCGAACAAAATATCTACCTTAAAATTAATGTAAAATCAGTCTTATTCATTATAATAATTGTGTTTATAGATTTGTGTTGAATACTCCTAAAATCACTTTTCAGTAATATTTCGGGTCTTGTCTCCAATTAACAATGTACATTTTTTAAAATCATTTAAAATAATTCAAGGATTCTTTCCCTGTTCTAGTCTAGTATCATTTTAATCATTAGGTTGTTAATATGATAATCTATTTACTTGTTGTTTTCTTCCACCCTCAGTGTTTATTCACTTTTATCTCTGTATTGTTATCCAAATTAATTCAATTTTTCTTTGCCAGCCGTATTCAGCTCACATAATTCATCTACATAACCAGTATTATGATTAATTTATGTCTTTTATTATCTGTAAATTTCATTAATTTAGCATTGTAAAGTGTCTGTATTGTTTTGTTATTGTTAATTGTATCTCTTGTTCTTTATATCTATTTAACTTATTTTTATTAACAGAGAATTAAATTTGTGGACTTTTTTAAATATATATGCTTGGTTATTACTAATAATTTCCTACTTATTAGGGATGGCGGTTTTTGACAAAACACTGGTTTTCGGTTATACCGGTTTTTTTTGCTTACGGTTTAACCTGGCAGTTATAACCGGCCAAAAAAACCGGTTTTCGCTTTTTTTAATCCAATAGATTAGAAAGTAACATTTAATTTGCGATACTACATTCGAGTCGATATCAATATGATCAAAATTAGTACTATCGAAAGAACATCAGTATCAATGTAAATACAACACAATTTTTTGTGTATTGTGAGAAAAAAATTCCCCAACAAAAATTTCAAAGAAAATAATATCAACATAAATATTTTACTTAAAAATAAATTGGATAATGCAATTCATCTTTTATTTTTACTACCATCAAAAAAATTTATCATGTATTACTTTTAACTCATTTACAACTTCTGGTATGGGTATAAATCAGTTTGAAAACATAGGGAAATCCTTGGAGATTCGTATTCGTAATCGGTAATTCGATATTCATAGAGTCCCACATTCAATGTCAAGAGTCAAGTGTGAAAAATAGATGTGAAAAACAGATCATTTCTTATGTAATAATATTATGATTACAAATACTTATTCAACGAAATACTATAATAAAATTTAATTGTTTCTGGCTGATGTGAGCTTTCACTTTCAGTTTGCTTCTGTATTTATAAAATAAAATAAAAATTGAATTTTAGTTTTGTTTGGAATAATTAATTCAGAATAATAAGTATGATTGGGTGGGATCCAAAATAATAACTAACCTAATCCTAATCACTGTAAATATATATGTTATAACCGGGACAAAAAAAAACAACAGATAAAACCAGTTATTTCTAAGTAAAAAAAACGGTTTTCGGTTAAAACCGGTAGGTTGAGTGGAAATTGAAATGTCAAACATAATTAAAAATGTAATTTTCACTACAATCAATAATTGTGGCTTAGTCCCATATAAACATAATATTTAGATTAGATATGCCACAAGAAAGTAGTTTCAGAATCTTGTTGAATAATATAGTTTCTGTTCTAGGTCAATACATGGTCAGGAAGTTTAGAAATAGGTGTAGTTGACTGTGATCCTTTAGATTTTGATTTTCCTCCATGTGCATCAAAAATACAATCTGGTTCCTGGGTAAGTAAAAGATTTAGAATAAATAAAATTAACACCTGGATAGATACTTTACATTCTGGACAATATAAACAAATATTTTGCTTCAAAGTTTCTTATTTGGCAAGTATTGGATCTGGTCAATTTGTCTATGTATTATAAAACCTTGGACTTTAGCTTTAAGTAGTCACATGGCACAACCAGTAACTTCAAGTGATTGAATATTAAAAAAAAATAATAATTGATCATACTGATATCAATCATTTGATAATCATCTAATTATTTCCCTAGTGACATTTTAAATATAATTTGCCAGTAACCTAATACTTAATTTTTAAGTTTTATCAATTTAATGGGTTAAGAAACAGATGCCACTACTAGGTAGCTGTGTATGATACCAGGCGACTAATCATGTAGGCTCAATTTGTGGCACTACATGGAAAATTTTAATTTTTCCACTGTTACATTACAAAATATATTTATTTTTATAACTATTTATGCAGTGTGAACAGTATGAAGTTAAGCAGTATCTGTGTTAGTTCAGTTTTGTAGTGAGTAGAGAAATAGATTCTTCAAAGAAAAATAATAGAAGTGTAGATTGTGAGCCAAAAGTAGAGCCTAGTCAATGGAGTAAAATTCCTTTCACACAATAGCAACTTGAAAAATTTGTTTTAGCTAGTGACTCTTAGTATGATATTCAACTAAGTTCAGAAAATAATGAGAATGTTTCTGGTAATTTCATGCAATCTAGTAAAAATGACAATGACTCGAGAAGTTTAATTTTAATGAAACACTTTTAATTTGTGGTATTTAGTTTTATGAAATTTGTAAATATATGAAATTTCTTTTGATGGTAAAATTTACTTTCTTGCAAATTAGAGTGTAACAAAATTAAATTTCTTATAAATAATTGATTTATACTTTTTTTAAAGTTGACTTACTACATAATTTGTTTTTAGATTATGTCAGGAACAACAGTTTTTAAAAATGGTGCCTGTCTTGTGGAGGGCTATGGAATGGATCTAGATAGACTTAACCAAGATGATAGAATTGGATTAATGAGAACAAGTGAGGTGGGTATATCCAGCTGTTTTATCAATATTTGTGTTATTTTTTGCATTGAACTTTCTGCATAGATTTGGTAATATATATATATATATATAAGAGTAAGAAAAAAGAAGTACTTGTGACTCGTTTGGAAAAAATATAACACTGTTTTTGATGGGTTGGAGTCAATAAAAGGGGCTATTTGTTGACTATTTTTTACTCGAGCTTTCAATTGTGATTACAATTTTTATCAAGAGCTTCTAAAAAATACAAAATGTCTTACAAAGTTGAACTAGAAATAAAAAATTTTTTGTTAACTCACCAAATAAAATTAGTTTTTGATATAAAACTACTGCTTACATAATAAATACAAAAAATGTTAATAAAAAAATGTCTTATTCTAACAAATGCTTCTCTGAAAAATTTAGATGAAGTTTCTTAAGAAAAAAAAATTGAAATTATAAACAAATATAGAATAGCTACAACCAGCCTAAAACGTCATAAATACTAACTTAAAAATTTTTATTTTTGACATATTGTCAAAAATAAAATTTTGTTTAAAAAATTCTTCTTTGTTTAGTAACAAAAAAGAAGAAGATTTATTCACCATTGATAGATGCCCGGAAAAATGTAACAAATACATGGAAAATTAAAAATGTGATATTTTACTGACTGCATAAATTAAATAGAAATTATATAATTATAAATTTTGCTTAAATTTTGAATTTCTGACCTTTTGTTTAAATTATTATCACTTTTGCTAATACAAACCATTTCCAAAAAAGTTCTTTTAAATTTATTACTTTCATTACATAAAATTTTAATATTATCAAAATCCATAATATGGTCTTTGTCTATTACAGTGCATGCTTAATAGACAAAGACCATATTATGGATTTTGATAATATTAAAATTTTATGTAATGAAAGTAATAAATTTAAAAGAACTTTTTTGGAAATGGTTTGTATTAGCAAAAGTGATAATAATTTAAACAAAAGGTCAGAAATTCAAAATTTAAGCAAAATTTATAATTATATAATTTCTATTTAATTTATGCAGTCAGTAAAATATCACATTTTGAATTTTCCATGTATTTGTTACATTTTTCCGGGCATCTATCAATGGTGAATAAATCTTCTTCTTTTTTGTTACTAAACAAAGAAGAATTTTTTAAACAAAATTTTATTTTTGACAATATGTCAAAAATAAAAATTTTTAAGTTAGTATTTATGACGTTTTAGGCTGGTTGTAGCTATTCTATATTTGTTTATAATTTCAATTTTTTTTCTTAAGAAACTTCATCTAAATTTTTCAGAGAAGCATTTGTTAGAATAAGACATTTTTTTTATTAATATTTTTTGTATTTATTATGTAAGCAGTAGTTTTATATCAAAAACTAATTTTATTTGGTGAGTTAACAAAAAATTTTTTATTTCTAGTTCAACTTTGTAAGACATTTTGTATTTTTTAGAAGCTCTTGATAAAAATTGTAATCACAATTGAAAGCTCGAGTAAAAAATAGTCAACAAATAGCCCCTTTTATTGACTCCAACCATCAAAACAGTGTTATATATATATATATATATATATATATATATATATATATATATATATATATATATATACTTGATCTAATTTAGATAACGACTTACGTCATTATCTACATCAGAGATTGAAGTTGACATAGTTGCCAAAGTATAAAAAAATCCTGACTCCATTTTAATCAAATAGATTACATAATTATTGCAAAAGTTATTACCATCTCTTTACAACGACTATTTAAATTCTTACGTGACTTTTTGAAATAAAACACACTAATTTTGTTCTAAAAAGAACAGATTTTATTAAAAGTTAAAAATATAAAACAAGAGATATTCACTTTAAAATTCAAAATAATGAAGTACAAAAAGTGTCAACACCGCAACTGTCAAATAAGTGTTACCAATTTATGCCAAAATTTTACCTTCGTTCGATTACAGTTACAGTGTGTTCCGAACAAATGTTCTTGATAAAACGCTTTATAATGCATTTATACAAATTAAATGAAACATATTATTGTGTATTTCTTTAGTTAACATTAATAGAAATTTTTAAATATTATTTCTACGCGTATATAATAAAATATGTCTAGTGGCTGTAATGCCAGTGTACTCGGTAAAGTGATTCTAAGAAAGAACACACCTACACCCTAAATATTTTGTGTTGGTATCATGTGACGTCACAGGCTATGACGCCGATGACGTGCATCGTTATATAAATTAGATGAAGTGTATATATATATATATATATATATATATATATAATATATATATATATATATATACATCGATTTTGCTTTGATTATTCTGAAACTTTAACTGGATACTCTTGAAGAGTTGGATTTGGACCATTAATAATAATTATTTAAAATCGAAATTTGTTAATATTTTAAGTGCACATATATATTTGCTTTTTATGTTGTTTTTAGGTACTTGTTGTTATAGGTGATAATTATATATAATCATATTATTGTACAATTTTTAGGGAGATCTGGTTTTTTACATAAATGGTGAATCTCAAGGTGTGGGAGCTGAAGATCTACCTAATGTGGTATACGCTATTGTTGATTTATATGGAAAATGTGTTCAGGTTACAATTACGAGCCCAGCATTTCGAGAGCACAATAATGATGACTGTCTTAGTGGCAGTTCTGTTTTAGCTATTGACAATGACATTCTCAATGTTACTCTTGGAGGTGATCTTAGTGAACTTAGTATGAGTAGCAGCAATAGTCTAGATATCAGGATGGATATGAATGTCAGGTATGTTCATATTATATAAATGCTTTAAATGATAAATTTATTCAATGTCATATTTATAGAATAGTATTTTTTTCATCATTATCCTTAGTTCTACAATACTTTTTTCAGTTGGTGATGATCCTTAGATAATGAAGTCATTTAATAAAAGAAAATTAAGATAATTTAAAAAGTTTCAGAAAAGCGTCTTTCTTTATAGAAAATTATTTCAGAAAATTTAAAACTAACAATAATATGATCAATTTGAAACTGAAACTTGATTGATAATACTGAAATCAATAAATTTAAATTCACAAATTCATTTCTATATGCAAGCAGACATATAAGGAAAATCTTCGTTTATCAATTTAAATATCAGCTGACTCCACTGCTGCAAAAGTATCCATAGCACCGATATTGTCAAAATAAATAGATAAACAGAATGGCAAAAAAGATAGCGACCCTCAAAAAGGTCGAGATCTTTGGCCAGTCGGCCAAAAGTAAACAATGCATAGGGCAGCTTCTGTATGAAGGCTTGACAATAGAACTCTAGAAAGATAAAAAATCTGTCTATATTTTATGATTAAATACAAGAATAAACAAGACTTAAACCAAAAATGCGAGTTTTCGCCACAACAAATTGTAATTAAAGAACTAATCATTTAATGTCTCCTACCATTGCAACAATAAACTAAAAATGATTCAAAACTCTGTGTCTGGGTATTTTATACGCTATTACCAGACAACTTACTAAGCGTTAATATAAACACTTCTATTAGGTGCCTTGGGAAGGAAGGTACAGCTGTGTTTATAATAGATACCGTACAACATAAACCAAGCGCAGACAAAATTAATCATAGGGGGAACTGAAAATAAGACGTAGTCAGAGGCAATAAAAACAGTCTATGAAATATTATAGGTACAGCACAATCAAAATTTTAAGGACCATTATTACCAGAAAAATGAAACGCTACAAAGTACTTAAATGGAAGATTATAATGTTTAAGTGTACAAAAACATTATGTATACTACAGGCTAGCTTATGGGCTATGTACCAAGAATATAGAGGGTCATAAGTGTATTTATACTTAAACCAAAACTGAAAAAAGCTAGAAAAACTGATCGGTAGGCACATTAGAGAAGGTGTATTGGTTGAAAGTCTGATATATCAGGGACAATATGCATTTAGTGCAGAATTCTCTACGGAAACAGTACTACATCATCTCGTACAGAAGGCGGCGTACATTCTGGAAGCAGTCGACACAGCAATGGTATCAGTAATTTGACTTAATAGCAGGTGGATAGACTGCATATTGAAGAGCCATGTAATTATACGCAATGGTGCCAATGAACTTCAAAAGTGCTTAATAGATGCTCCCAACAGTTCTCAAATCATCAAATTTATTATAAGGGGGCACTTAGGGAGATTAAGTACTCTGAATGATACAAAGTTAAATCTGGTGAGTGAAGTAAAGAAACACAGATATGTAAACATGGTGGTAAAATCAACAATAATATATGAATTAGCGGTATGGGGCAAAAGTACAGTAAACAGGTCTAACCATCACATTAAGGAAGTTGCAAAAACTTACTTGCCTTGAAATTATACGCTAACAGCAGCTATGGATGCCCTACTGAACCTCCCTCTTCTTCACATCGTTATAAGGGGCAGGCGAGAATGGGATATTATAGACTGAGAAAAAACCTGAGAATCTTAATATTTAATTTAGGACATAGTAATATCATAAATAAAATTAGGAATAACGTATGGATGATATCCTATGAACTTCAACCATAGAACCTTTTCAGGGTCTACCTATATAAACTGCAGGATCGTCTGAAACTAGTGGCGGAAATTTAAACATTTATATATATTTTTAGGGCCTTTTGAATTGAGAGCTTTTGAATTTCAGTGGATCAATATGTGCAGAAATAATCAAGCGAATAGGGGGACTCTCAGGAATCCTCTAGGCCAGGGGTCGGAAACCGAGTCGGAAGAGCCAAAAATTACAATTTACAAAATTTTAAAGTTTTTAAAGAGCCACACATTTTTTTTGTCAACAATAAATAGTACTCGCATAAATAAAGTTCTTTGATAAAAAAATTAATCTATTTATTCATATGTAGACATATAGTGTTTTTCACATATATATATATATATATATATATAATATATATATATAATATATATATATATATATATATATATATATATATATATATATATATATATATATTTAAAATATATTCAATAGTTGAATAGCAGAGGTTGTATCGGTCAATAATAGGCAAATGAAAGTCGTCAACTACTTCATTGATTTAATTGAATACGTTTCGCTTTTTTGTTTTCAAAAGCATCATCAGTTCACTACAAATAAAAATAAAAAGATTTAAAATATAAGTAAATAATCAAAAGGGTTCATACTTACAAAAACAATTTGTAGGTTTTTTTAAAGATGTTAAAAAACACTCTACGATAACTTAACATTGAAAAACTTACAAACTAAACTATAGAATCGAAACAAAAAACACACAAGAAAAAACTGAAAGAGCACTATTGTTTATTTAATTTTATGCTTCTAATCCTAATGTCGCTTTTATGGGACGTTAGTCGACCTTGAAGAGAACGGCTGGTCTGGCCAATGTAGCAGGAGTTGCACTCCGCACAGGGTACATGATAGGATTTCAAAACCATCCTGTGCCCTTGCACAACATGCCATTTCAAACCAAACACAGTATCGACTTCACTAATACCAAAATACTGTGCAAACAAAAAAATTATCATAAGCGCTCTATCCTTGAAATGTGTCAAATTCTTAAACATCCATCATCCCTAAATAAAAGAACCGACATCGACAACTTAAGCCAGATATATCACTCTCTCATCATACATAACAAATAATTAAAAAAAAACACTTACAAGATAGTAACTTCATTCCCCTTCTTCTTTCCCTTTCTAAAAATTTTTTTCCTTTTTGAAAAATAGGGCTGTCCCCGTTCTGTTTACTAACTTGTTTAATAATTGTACCTCACTGCTTTCCAAAAAAAACATATGTACGACACAAGCCACATGTGCAAATATGACAGCCTACAACCGATAGAAAACAATCCAAGAGATTATTGTGTTGGATCTTCGAAAGAGCTTACACCCACATTGAGATAAAGCCATCGGTTAAAATTAAATAAACAATAGTGCTCTTTCAGTTTTTTCTTGTGTGTTTTTTGTTTCGATTCTATAGTTTAGTTTGTAAGTTTTTCAATGTTAAGTTATCGTAGAGTGTTTTTAACATCTTTAAAAAAACCTACAAATTGTTTTTGTAAGTATGAACCCTTTTGGTTATTTACTTATATTTTAAATCTTTTTATTTTTATTTGTAGTGAACTGATGATGCTTTTGAAAACAAAAAAGCGAAACGTATTCAATTAAATCAATGAAGTAGTTGACGACTTTCATTTGCCTATTATTGACCGATACAACCTCTGCTATTCAACTATTGAATATATTTTAAATTTAATCAACGGTCGTATTTTTTGCTATATATATATATATATAATATATATATATATATTATATATATATATATATATATATTCATACATTTCATTTATTGAAGTAAAAAATTAAAACAACTAAATATTCACTTATAACACTAACTTGCACTTCAATAACAAACAGTTGAGCAAATAATCTCAATGGGAGTGTTGGCTTTGCATGATTTTAGAGAGTTTGGATAAATCTGGCTCATAACTTGTTGTTTTAAGTTTCAAACACGACTCTAAATTTTCATTTGTTAGTTGGCTTCTTAGTTTACTTTTAATCATGCAAAAAAACGCTTGCTCGCAAGAATATGTCGATCTGAAGATAGTTAGTACTCCAAATGCCAACTTCTTTACCTCACTGTAGCAATCTGGAAGACTATTCCATGCTTCGAATATGTCCCTCAATTCGCGGCATTTCTTTCAAAGCTGTCCACTTTTTTTGCGTTACGTACATATATTTCTGGACTTCCAACTTGCTTTTCAATTTATCGCGATATTGCTTTAGAAATTGAAAATGAAGTAATTTACCGCTCTGAATATCTTCTGCAAAAAGAATTAATTTTTCTTCAAACAAACCAATTCTTCCACCAAAACATAGGCTGGGCTTTCTTTTCCTTGCAGTTTTAGATTCAGCTCATTTAATTTCGCTATGATATCCACCATAAAGTAAAATTTTTGCAACCATTTGTCGTTCCCTAATTCAGGATGATTGATGCCTTTTTGATTTAGGAATGTATTTATTTCATTCAAGCACAAAGCAAAACGTTTCAATACCTTACCTTTGGAAAGCCATCGCACTTTATTATGAAGAAGGAGGTCGGAATACTGAGCCTCCATTTCGTTTAAAAATTCTTTGAACTGACGATGGTAGAGTGCTTTTGATAAGATGCTATTAACAATCTTGATCACCAAATTCATGACCTCAACTATTTCGACTGGAAATGTTTGGACACAAAGCGATTCTTGATGTATTATGCAGTGAAACGTAAGAATTTCGTGATTTAATGTGCTTTGAAGACTCGTTGTTGTCTCTTTATTTTTTCGTATCTACTTCTGGCTCTGGAGGGGTGCGGTGGGAAGCGAGTATAAGTGACTGAGAGGATCGGTGTCTAATCATCGTTAATCGATTCAGAAGGCTTTTTAAAACTTTTTTGTTTGGTAAAATAAATAATATTTGCGTGTGGAACTAAAGAACCGCAGCTTCACATCCAAAGCAGTCGCAGGTTTCCGACCCCCTGCTCTAGGCTAATCTGGAGTGCCAAAATTTTATGAACTTGCCAGAAAAATCCTTGATCCGAGTTCAACCTAACTCCCGCTGTATAGTATCCCGGCTACTGTAGCAAGTCAAATATACCCTGTCAAGCTCAAGACAAAAGTGATACTAAATTACTATTTAAATGGGAATAAGCCACAATACTACACTAATTTATTTTTACACTATAATTATATAATTTAATTTACATTTATTAGAATACGCTCGTTTCATTTCAAACTCGATACAATTATATTTCGGACTAACTTGTTTTCAAATAAAAAATATCTATATATATATATATATATGATATATATATATATATATATATATATATATATATATATATATATATATATATATATATTATTGTGATATTTAAAGTCTTGGTGCGCCAAGCAATAATTAGCTAATTAATTTTTGATTAATTAAAATTATTCAAATGATATGATTATGACTCTATCACACTTTTTTAATTCTTTTATCTCAGGGTTAAATTCGTGCTTCAATATCTATTGCTATTACATGTGAAAGGTAAGGTCCAAAGAATACCGGAATAATAAAAAACAACATATGATCTAACACTATATATTGAAATAAAAAAGTAATGAAATAATTCACACTCAAAAGTTTTCAATAAACAAAATCTCATATAATAATTCTCAAAATTTTGTTCTACGTACGTGAACAATCAAAATTAATGGTACAAACAATATTAGTTGAAATCTCAAAATCCAAACTATTCTAACTCTCCTAATCAAAATATTTATATCCTTTATAAATTACGTGTAAAAATTGTGTTATCAATGAAAGAAACAAACTGCAGAAAACAAAACTATCTCTGATGATGAGTGGTCCAAATCCTTGTTATTTGTAGACTATATTTACTCGTGGACCGCTCCCTAAGTAATCAGCAATCTTACAATAAATTATTGCAAGTACCTCGTCCTTAATGATCTCCTTCAAATGCACGAATCGTTCAAATTATGCTAGCTGCTATCTTCTCTCAATAAACTGAATCTCTCGTTGGCCTGAGTGAAAAATGACTCTTGGAATATCTTTTCTTTACGATAAACTGAATCTCTCGTTGGCCTGAACAGTGACTCTTGGAATATAAGTAGAAAAATATGACTTACAATATTTTACTGGATCAGCTTCTGTCAGATACACTAACTACACGACAACTCACAAACTTTCACTGCTACTGCTTCCTACCTCTGGGAAACTACCCGAGAACAACGGCCGTTCGCCTTGCACCCTTGGAAACCAACTGATTATCTTTCTCTCTCCTAAATCTAGCTAAACTTTCATTCCTACATACCTATCCCACCTTTTTCAATCTCCGCCAATCAAAACTCGTCACAATTCCCCATTTTTTCATTCCGATAACAAACAAATTTTTACCTATAATTATAAAATTTCCTAAAACTTATTTACAAATAATATTTTTTCTACAATTCTTAAAAACTAACAAAAAACTCTTTCCAAATCTCTTTTATTGTCTTTAATCGCTGCCTTAATGTATTTGGAAAAACCCGGTTCAATTGTCTTTGGGATTTCACTTAAAATTATGCGGGTCACTCAAGTATAGTATAACAAAGAAAATAATTTATGCATAGCTTACATTTTGTTTAATACAGGTAATCCAAAAATTTAAATACTTTCCTTCTTCGAAATGTTTGTTGGGTATTATCCTACTTATCTGGATTATTTTAATGTTTTTTGAACTTGTGAAATATTTTAATCAAACCAATATTTTTCTCGATTTTCCATATAATATATATATATATATATATAGATAATTGTTTGATATATATAATATATATATATATATATATATATCAAACAACCGCTAATCTGGAATCCCGGCGACCCCTTTCGAATAGACTGGAAGGTCACGCCAGACAGGTTTTTAGCGGGTCGGAGAATCTAGAAAATATCAAGAATGAAAAAGATGTTTACAGTTTAGATATGAGTCATTATTTATCGTAACACTATTAAAGTTC